TTCTATACTAATTTAGCTCTTACATTTTATTCCTTAGAAATTTTTTGAATTAACAATAAAAAGACAAAATTATTTAATTTTAGTTTTCTTCGAAATAAAAAAAATTTCCTTATAACCTTAAAAAAAATGTTTTTGTTTTAATTTATTCAATAATTATTTTAGAGTAATGTGTAAGTAAAGGTTCGTATGCGGTAAAACTTCGAACAGTTGAAATGTAACAGTTCAAACTGTAAATTCCAAAAATTTGAATTTTGATCAAAACTCGGCAAAAATAACTTACAGCATGAGAAAACTGAAATTTATTAGAAAAACAATTTAAGTGAAATTTTTAAATAAGACCTTAAAAAAACATTTAAAGCACGCTTTTGGAGCAATTTATGTATTGTATTAAATATTTCAAAGGAAAATTAAAACTATTATTAAACTAAATTTATTTATAGTTGATTTTCTCTTTAACATGATTAAAATTTTATATGCGATGCAATTAAGTAGGTGGGGTTTTGGTTCATGCACGCTGCCTCAAATTTCTACATTAAAACTTAAATTTCGGACCAGCGTTAAACATGTACGCAAACAATTCAGAAAAGTTTTTTACGTTTAAGTAGTCTGCAATTTCTGAAACGTTTAAATAATGAGTTACTCGAAATGGCATAAATGACATTTTAGTTAAAATTAAAATTTTAACGAAACATGTTTACGTATGTGATTGATAAGATTTGAAGACTTAAAGAGAACTTATTTGAATAACCCTTCAATATTTGAATCTGACATTTTGAAATTTTAAAATTTAAAAAAAAAAATCTCAGCGGCAGCGAAAAAATTTAAGCTGGATTTTGAGTTTAAGTTTTCTTCGACATTTCTGATATTTCTTTATTACGGAATGAATTTCCGAACGAATTTTATTAAAGCGAGTAATTTCCGAACAATCTATGTATATTTTCAGTGTTTTCATATATTTCCAGAAACCCCTAATCAAAACTATTGTAGCAATTTCTTCATTAATCTTCAACTTTTTATTTTTACATATAAACTGAATGTTATGTTATACAGTCATATTCTCAACAATAAAATATATAGAATAACTTTTAATTCGCTAAAAAGGATTTCGGTCCACAAAACAGCATTTCGTTCAAAAATTTTTTCCAATTCGAAACTACATTTTGGGCATCATTTAAAGTTTTATATATGTAATATTAAAGGGAACGCGTTAAATATATCAAACGAATTGGTTTCGCCAATAATTATGCAAATTTTTCAAAAATAATCAGGATAATTTCCAGATCTTGTGCAAATAGCTTAAATTTATTTTAATACTTTGCAATGCGATAATTATGGTATAAAATATAATTTAAAAATATTTTCATGTTATATGTGTAGTTGATTTTTTTGTAATTTTACAATAACAAATAAATGTGAAATACTAGAACCTTTGATATTTAAAGTTTATTTCTGTTTGTAAAATCTTACATAAATTTAAAAATACTTAATTTTGGGCTTGAAAGAGAAAAATATTTAATTTTACCATCTCACTTGCTCGTAAATAGCTAGGTAGTTATTTAGCATTATATTCACATAAATATTGCATATATTCTGGCGAACTAACTTTATTTCATTAACTTGTATGATTTTTTGATGCAATTTTTCATATGCAAGAATTTTGTATCATGCAACAATTATAAACCTTAAGAAAATCTCCATAATCATATTTTAATTTGGGTCCACATTGTTATGATGTAAATTATATAATAAATTTTATTCAAACACAATTTTAATAATCTATAGTTATGAAATAAAATTATGAATAAAAATTTCCTGTACAAAAAAGCCTTAATAAGTGCATTAACAACTTTAAAATAAACTTATGTATAATTGCGTCTAATTAAAAAAAAGAACTAACTTTCGTCTAGTTCTCCCATTATTTCCTTGTTTCAAACGGATGTACTAAAAAAGAGGCACCGTAGGACCGTCAGCTATTGGTGTAAGCTTTCTAGACTATTAATGTTTAAGAATTACTTCGATGCCGAAAAATAATCTATTAAAAATAATATCCCCTTTATTTAAAAAAAAAAAAAAAAAATTTAGTCTCAATATAAAGAAAAAAGCTTATTGAGTTTAAATTATCGTTAGCTATTCAAATTCTTGAATAAAATTATAGCACCTTTTATTGGTAAATTATATGCTTTCAATATTCCTATATTTACGATTATACGAGTCTGACAGCTTTAATGTTGTAATAATTAAATATTTTCTGTTTTTATATATATATACGTGTAATTCATTCATGCATCATTACATATAGAATATGTAGATAAGTATTTTATATGAGCAAGCTCGTATGCAATTTATTTATAATTATACGAGCTTACAGTAAAAATAAATTGTCAAAAGTATTTTTTTCGAAAATATTTGCTCACAAATTTCAGCTTGTGGTAACACAAATCGAATCAGAAATTATTCTGTTTATTTTAAACAGGTTGTTAAAAATTGTATAGATGTTAATGTAAATTATTTCAGAAGTAATTGACTTGACCGGTACCAAATTCTTGGAATTTAACTTAATATAGTTGAAAAATACAAATGACACAATATGCTTGTACTGCACTTTATATTCCATAATTAACTTAAATTTTGCCAGTTTCTCTATATTATTTTCCATTAGACAATATTGCAAAAATCAAAGAAAAGGACAGTCCCATAAAGAATATGAAAGAACTCTTTTTAAAAATTCTGAAATATGCCTATAGGGTGTCGCACAACTTAAAATTAATATACAGCTATATTTGTGATAAAATTTTAATTAAGACAAATGGTACTTTCAAATCATTAAATGGTTACTATTTAAATAAATTTACATAAAATTAGCAAAGTGACACCTATTATTGAAAAAAAATTAGAAAAAATATTTAGTACTTAAATTATTATTCAACCACTAATGAATATAATGATTTAAAACCTCCTTTTTAAATGCATATATACTAGAAACTCAGATTTTAAAAGTAATATAAAATAATAAAAGAAAAATTACACACATATCTTTCTATTTGATTTACGGTAAGGAAATCACCCTGTTCATGCGAAAATTGTTTGAACGATGGAACATATTTTTAATTCATGTTCTTATTATCAGCAATTAAAACATTCCTATAACACGCAAAAAATATCAAAATGGGTGTACTAAAAAAATTATGATATCAACGTAGAATACATAATAAAAATACTAAAACACACAATTTAATTCAAAAATATGTGATTGTAAATCATTCGGCAGAATTGCCTAAACATTTTCAATTTATGTCAATGATTGTTTCAGATTGTTAATAATATTTTTAGATTGGGTAATAAAATCTTTTCGATTGATAGAAACTCATTATAAAATATTAATTAAACTCATTATCAAAAACTAATTAAAAAATATATTAAAAATAATGTTATACAATATCGTGAAGCAAAAATTGCAAGAATTGACTATTTCATTGTAATATTAACCACAGGTTTCTTTATAAAAATATTAATAATATCAAAGAAAATAATAGGATATGCAATTTACTTTATCCAAGCAATATTTTATAATTTCGTTTTATTCCTCCGAAAACTTTTTATTTTATGAGATATGAACAAATATATTCGGAATCCCATTTCATATCATATTTATAGAAACGTAACCAATATTTGGACCGTTTGAAGACTTTTGTGGTTCCTTCGCAGTCACAGAGTATTTCTAGACACTCATTAAAAATTCAAATCACTTTATTTATTGCAAAAAAAGGAAGGCTAATGAAATAATTTTTTTCAAAAACATCAAATTTTTTTTCTATTTTGTATTTTTCATCTTCAAATTTATGTCACGTGCTCATATATTTATATAATACTGCAATGGTGCAGCATGGTTATTGTACTGGTCCTTTGACTGAAGGGCCTCAGGTTCAAAGCCTGGTCAGGTCACTATAACTAATTTCAACTAATTGCCATATTTCGATAATATTCAATATTGAAAATACCAGGAAAATACAACAATAAATATCAAAATAATTATCAATATTTAACATAAAGAAAAAAACTACGGTAAATTCGTCACCTATCTAGTAAAATTCAATGACGCCGGAAACTGGTTCATGGTTATCTACCATAACATGCGCCAGTGCTACGATCCTTACAGCAGCGAAGTAGGATTAAAAAAAATATATAAATAAAAAATTAAAAAGAAAAAAAATATATAAATAAAAACAGGCTGATCGTGTATCTCGATTTTTAGTTCACTTTTTATTCACTTTGAATTCAGAATTTTCTACTGGATGTTTCACTTTTCCAATAAGATTACTCATTGTTTCAATTGGATTTTTGAATTTTTTCTCAAATTATCGACTGAACGTCCCACTTTCAAAAACGAAGTGAATAAATTTTGTATGCATTTTAGAGAAGAACAAGATGCGCAATACCAAATAATTCTTTTCACTCGAAAATTACATTATACAAGTATTTGATAGTTACTCACTTTCTTCTCACTTTTCGACTGAAATAGGAAGATAGACGATCAGGTCCTAAATATCGAAATCATTGTAAATCATATATGTATTTAAGAATTTACATTTTAAAATAAAAATTTTTAGCTTTAAGTTTTTGTAAAATTTATAATTGTATATGGCCTATAAAAGTATTTTAAAAATCTAAAAATCTAAATAAGTGTTAATCACAAAATGAAAATTTTTAAAATTTTTACAAAGAACACAATAGTGGCAGGACTCGTACATTACAAATGCAAAACATTACTGTATTTTTTTTTTGTTATTACGAAAATTTGTACAAAACTTTTAAGTTTATATTTTCGTTTTTCTTTTTTTTTCTATACCTGAAATAAAAAAAAAAATTTGAAGCTTTTTATAAGCAACTCTTATTTTTCCTAAAAATGAATAAATCTTTTAAAAAATAAAAAGCACAAAAAAAAAGTCAGTATAAATTAAAAACAAAAATGAGTCAAAATTGTTAAATTGTCTATATTTTAAGTTTAGTTCGAGTTCGGTTGTGCGGTTGTTAACATTTCAAAGAAGAAAATCTCGCGAGTAATTTTCAAACAACACAGAAATATTACAAAAAAAAAAAAACAAATAATTTTTATCTATTACGGAAAAGAAATATACGTGTTCAGTCACATATACAAATTCACATACATACACACATATACAATTATACTATACATACGTTACTCATTTAATTTTTTTTTTTTTTGGTATTGAAAGTAAGAGTACGTTTTTCTTTTTGGTTTTTCCTTGTTTTTCTTTATTATTTTTTTTTGAGACAATACACACAGCTTCTGAACAAGAAAAAAAATATTAAATTAATTATTTTAGCGAAAAAAAAATATTAAATTTAAAAGCATTTAAAAAATTTTTAATAACCGTGTATTTTTTTTTTTGTATTTAAAGAAAAAGCAAAAGAAAACAAAATCAAAAATAATTATGACACGGTTTTTGTATAGCTCAATTCTAGTCATTGGAATTGCAATAAGCAGTGGTAAGTTTTTTTTAATTTTTTGAATATAAATTAACAAAAAAATATATTGACAAAAGTAGGAGTACATAATATTTTGTTAATAAATTTGAAAAATTTGATTTGTAAAATTTTAAGTTGAATTTGCCTTGAAATAAATTTTTAAATTTAAATAACTATAGGTAAATATTAAGATATGTAATTATTATCAATTTGACATACATATACCATGCGCCCGCTGCCACTTTACTTATTTTTAATTACAAGTGTAAGCTACTTTTTTCTAATGCCGAGCTACTATTTTAATTTTTTTTTCCAATTTTACTCCTAAAGTGCAAAATTTTTTTTATAAAATTTAATGAATTTTAAATTAATTCATGGCCTTCATCTGTCAATGGCAATAATTATGGCAATTATAAAAATTTTTTTAAAAGTTCTTGTATCAAATGATTTTTGACCTAAATATCAGCCTAGTTTTAGATAATACTCGTAATTTTAAAAATTAGGCTGTTTTAGCAAACTCCTTAAATTAAAAGTATTTATACATATACATATGTACATAAATTATATAAGTATGGATAGAAGATCTGGTCTGTTTGTAAGAAAAGAATTATCAAAAAAACTTTTATAATTTTCTTACTTTATTGCCACTAGTTAAATGATAACATCAGATTTTTTTGCGGTCATATAGCATTCATTTTGATATGTAACTGCTTTTAATAGAATAGTTAATTTTTATCTTACCCATTTATTCAAATTCACAATTCATTTTACAGAGTCCCAACAGAACCATGTATATTATGTTTGTAAATGAAAGCTTTAAAAAAATGTAAAATGCAATAAATAACATGTAAATCCAACATGATTTTGCTAAATGGATAAAAAATAATTAATATAAACAATTGTTCGGGATATCACACCTTATTGCATTATCTTTGTCATTAACTAACTTATGTAAATTTTAAGCCCTAAATTGCATTCTATAGGTTTTTAAATTTATTTATGTTCAAGTAGAAGAGCTTTTGTAAAATTTAAGAAACTTTTTTTTTCTTTCGAAAAATTTTTTTACATATAGGGACTAACTACAATACAATAGAGATTTGAATAAAATTAGAGAATTTTAATTTTAAGAGAATTGAAAAATTAATTAATAATTGCATTACGGATTTTAATACATCAACATATATTCCTAAATATATATAGCATGTATGTACCATGTAAATACTTATGAAAATGTACATGTGTATGTGATGTAACTTCTCCCATTTGGAATTCTACAGGATTCACTTTTTTATTTGCCAATTTACTTCTTTTTAAATTATTTCCTGTATATTTTGAATTATTCGCAATTTAAAATCAAGTGTCGTATTGATGTTTTTTTTTTGCATTTTAAAATTGAAATCCTATGAAAATGTTATTGATTTCAATTGACTTTCTATTTAAATTATACATTGGTGGCAATATAGAAAAGACAAATAATTTTTTCTTGCCAATTGAAAAAATAATTTTTCTTGTCAAAAATTTATATCGGAAAGTTGTCTCCGATATAAATCTTTGAAAAATAAAAATCTTAAAAAATACCAAAAATAAAAATGTCAAACCAATCAAGTCAATACATATTTGATTCAATACTAATTTTATGCCAATATTCTATAATGTACTGTTTACATATACGACAAAACTTTTTTACGAAAACCAAAAGTCAGCTGATCGCAGCTTCAAACTATCACAAAACTGATTATGGCGTTTTTGGTTTTAAAAAATCTGGCCATAATTCTGATGAAAATGGAATTCCCATCTACATTACATAAGAATTATGTAAAGTAGATGGGATGTTGGATGTTATTTGTCTTAAAAAAATTATATTATATTTCAAGCCTTTCAAACTAAAATTTATGATTGTAAACTTAATGCTTAAGTTTTTCTAAAATACATAACTAATGTGGAAACGTTTTGATTTTTTTTTAATTTTTTGAAATAGATTCATTTACAATTCAAAATTAAAAAATTTTCAAAAATAGGAGCATTTTAAGGTAATATCAAATATTAAGGCATTGGTTTTGTAAACTTTTCTGTTAAAAAAGTAATTTCAGTTTGGTAGCCTGATAGAATAATATGTATGTATATATTTTGCATATAACTGTTTTGATAAATTACATTTACTCCGTTTATATAGCAGCTTCAAGCGTACTGTAAGCGTATTCTATGTTCATATAAAAGTCACTTGACTTGAAGCAGGTTTAACTCAGGTCAATCAAAAAAAATGACTTGAAATATTAATAATAACTTGAAATGCAATAGCTAAATGACATTATCGGGCCTTTAAGCTGACGTCGTAAAAACGCAGTTTGAGTTCGGACATGAAGGTATTCAAGTCAAGGTATTTGATTTTACATCAAAAAATACTGCATGAAATTTTATTATACATTGTATAGTTTTTCATAATATCAAGCAATCACAATGATGACATTTGCATGAAAACAAAATGTGATTGTTTTACATACTTATAAATAATTTTTAAAGTTTGCGTAGCTTTACAATAAATATTTTTTAATTTAAATAACCGATGTACACATTGTCTGCCACTACCATAGACAAAGAGCCATTATGAATTATTAACAATTCTGGTAAATGAACTATAAATTTAAATTTTTAGAAATACTCTTTCATATTTCAATAATATTATTAGCTATTTATAATATAAAATTTAAATAATAATAATATTGACACATACATGCATATATTAATTATTATGATTATTTTTTTTCTAAATTTTTAATATTCTGTTGTATTTCTTATAAAAAAAATATTTTGTATAAAAAAATCGCACATTCTACTTAAAGTAGAAGTGGCCAATTTTATTATGCTTGAAATAATTTTGTATAATAAATTAAGGGAATAATTGTATCTATATTTATATATATGTATATGTATATATATCTAACCTTGTTTTTAAGCTATTAAACTAGTTGACCTTGTTGGTTAATATTAAATAAAAAAAAGAAAACAAAAAACCATAAAACAAGAAAAAATAACGTGATTCAAAAAACCAACCAAATTGTTATCACTCAAGTAATTTTATATTTACATACATACCTGCATAATTTTAAATAAAAAAACTCAACTTAATTTGCTTTTAATGTGTCAAAATCTTTTTTACTAATTTTTCTGTTAAAATATAGAAACGCCTTATTCACACAAGAGAGCAAAACAAGAAAATGTTCTACAACTTAAAATTTTGAAAAGAACGAAGAGTTAGAAATTTCTTAATATTTTAAAGGTAATTAATTTTGGAGGTGTTAAAGTTTAACTATGTATGATTTAAGATAATCAAAAGCCGCGTGAGATTTAATGGGAATGCGCCAAATGTCATAATACACATTTGACTTAAGTAAAATTTCTTTACGTTTTAAAAATTTTCGTTTGTTCTTGAAGTACACTCTACTCTACTCAAAATAAAGTACACCGAAAAAGGTAAACCAAAGAGTAAATCAAATAAAAGTTTTTGTAATCAATAAAAAGTGTAACAATAAAAATCAGTAAAAAGTGTAACATGAAACGGCAATCTTAAATTAATGCTAGAAAATTAAATTTTATCAGCTATAATCTTATAACAGCTAACAATTAATTTAAGACAATTAAAGTTTGATCTATGACAACTATACTTAAAACTATTGCAGGTGGACAAGAAATTTTGTGGTTTCTAATGAAAACTTAAACAAAGTTAGTCATTAATTGACAGTTTTTCTTAAGCCCTGTTAGTTATAAACCAATAAAGATTTGTCTTTCTGAATAAGGATTAAATTAAATTCACTTCATGAAAAGTATTACTTATTATGTGTATAAATAATTTTTTTATAATATAAATTAAATTAAATCGTCTAATGTTACAACATTAAATTCTATACTGCTTGAAACCTCGACGTTATGCTATTGCTTTTACTTATATAGCGGAACGCTTTACAAATCTTAAATCAAGAAATTGAAAGTATTTTTTGGCAATATTTTTTGTTATTTTTGTTTTTATATTTTCATTTTCCTACAATACATACATATGTATATGTATATGTACATGTACATATGTACTTACATATTTTATCTAAAGTTCGGACGAAAGTTTAAAACAAATTCTTTATTCAATAATACAATCTTTTATATTATGCACATATGTACATGCATTCATAAATATGTAAGCATGTATATATGTACAAACAATATCAAAAGATACTGAAAAAAAAAACAAATAGTTCTGCAATATCTAGTTATTTTTACAACAAAAATAAAAATGAAAAAAAAACACATGTATTGTGCAATATTGAATAAAATTGCTACAAAATCGCGTAATACTTTCGCATAGTGTCATGATATCCATAATTCGTGTGAATTGGTTTCGTTGGTATATGGAGCAAAAGTACTTATATCTGTTTTTTTTTCTTCTATTTTACTTTGGTTTTTCTTTGGTTTTGTTTTGGTGTAAATAAAAATAATAGGTAATTTTTTCGATTTTTTGTTTTTTTTTAGGTTTGGTTATTTAAGATTTAATATTTTTTTTTTAATAAAATACAGTAGGGTAAATTATTATTTTCAATGTGTATGCATATTTTAGTGATTTTGCACATAATATTATATTAAAATACATTTTGAAAGACAAATCACTTCTACGTCCTACGTACCAAAATTAATGTGGCACGGCAACTCAAACAAGGTTGCCTCGAGACAACTTCGGAAACTTTATATAAAATGTATATATACCAATATAAATTATAACAACCGCTTGCCGCTTTAATTAAGAGGGGCAGCATTAAAACAAAAATGTTAATAATATACATACATATTGTGTTGTCTTCTGTATTGTCAAATTTAATCATCTAAAATCTAAGCAATCGACATTTTCACAACTGTCAAACGTTTCAACATTTTGATTGTCGTTCAAGTAAATAAAAAGTTGTAATGAATTTAAAACTATAATATTATGTATATACATATACATATATATTAATAGCTTAATTGGATTAATGGAATTC